ACACAGAACATCCAAAAGAAGGCCCAAGGCCCCACAGCAGCTTGCATTGCTTCACAGCTGGGCCTCATCTGGGCACCTCCAACCCCCAAACAAAGAAGAGGAATCTGCAGATCTCTCCATAGCTCCTGCTGGGTAGCCTCAGGCAGAGGCTAAATTAGCACCTCCTTAGAGATCCAAGAGCCAGTGTACCCAGTGGTCAGAGTGGGACCATCCAGATTACAATTCCTCAGATCCATAAGGGACACACTCAGGGGGCAGACTCAGTAAGCACCAAAGCCCCATTGAAGCAAGTTTTGCCCCATAAGGGTGTCTCCAGCACAGAAGTTCTCCCACAGTAGATACAGCTGATTTTCACAGCTAATTGGCCTGAAGGTCAATTCCTCCCAGTGATACCAACTACAATCAAGGCTTAAGTACAACAAGACTGTGCACACAGCCCACAAAGGGGTGCACCAAGAGTGTCCACCTCAGGTAATTGGGGAGGCTGAGTCACCGGGCCCTATAGGACACCTAGCACAGAAAGCCACTCTATCAACACAAGGAAGCAGCCAAAATGAGGAGACAAAAAAACAGGTCACAAATGACAGAAATGGAGGAAAGCAAACTACTGGATATAGAGTTCAAAACCACGGTTATAAGGTTACTCAAGAATCTTCTAGAAACCGCCGATAAATTTAGTGAGACCTTCAATAAGTCTAGTGAGACCCTCGAGGATATGAAAAAGGACCAACTAGAAATTAAGCATACACTGACTGAAATAAAGAATATTATACAGAGATCCAACAGCAGACTAGAGGATCGCAAGAAACAAGTCAAAGATTTGAAATACGAAAGAGTAAAAAACACCCAACCGGAAAAGCAAAAAGAAAAAAGAATCCAAAAATATGAAGATAGTGTAAGGAGCCTCTGGGACAACTTCAAGCGTGCCAACATCCGAATTACGGGGGTGCAAGAAGAAGAGAGAGAGCAAGACATTGAAAACCTATTTGAAGAAATAATGACAGAAAACTTCCCCTACCTGGTGAAAGAAATAGACTTACAAGTCCAGGAAGAGCATAGAACCCCAAACAAAAGGAATCCAAAGAGGACCACACCAAGACACATCATAATTAAAATGCCAAAGGCAAAAGACAAAGAGAGAATCTTAAAAGCAGCAAGAGACAAACAGTCAGTTACCTACAAGGGAGTACCCATACGACTGTGAGCTGATTTCTCAACAGAAACTATGCAGGCCAGAAGGGAGTGGCAAGAAATATTCAAAGTGATGAATAGCAAGAACCTACACCCAAGATTACTTTACCCAGCAAAGCTATCATTCAGAATTGAAGGTCAGATAAAGAGCTTCACAGATAAGAAAAAGCTAAAGGAGTTCATCACCACCAAACCAGTATTATATGAAATGCTGAAAGGTATTCTTTAAGAAGAGGAAGAAGAAGAAAAGGGTAAAGATACAAATTATGAACAACAAATACATATCTAGCATCAAGTGAATCTAAAAATCAAGTGAATAAAAAATCTGATGAACAGAATAAACTGGTGAATATAATAGAATCAGGGGCATAGAAAGGGAGTGGACTGACAATTCTCGGGGGGAAAGGGGTGTGGGGGTGCGGGAAGAGACTGGAAAAAAATCGTACACCTATGGATAAGGACATTGGGGGGGGGGTAAGGGCAGAGAGTGGTTTCGGAACCGGGTGGAGGGGAGCTATGGGGGGAAAAAGAGGAACAACTGTAATAATCTGAACAATAAAGATTTAATTAAAAGAAAAAGAGACTGGGAGGAAATATTTGCAAATCACATACCTGACAAAGGACTTGTATCTAGATTGTAGAAAGAATTCTCCCACATTGAAAAAGCATCAAATCCAATTAGAAAATGGGCAAAAGACATTTCACTGAAGAGATATAATTGGCAAATAAGCAATGAAAGTGTGTTCAACATCATTAGCCATTAGAGAAATGCAAATTAAGACCACAGTGAGATATCATTACACACCTATTAGAATGGTTAAAACAAAAACCAGGGATGACACCAAATGGTGTTGAGGAGGAGGAGAAACTGGAGCACTCATACCCTGCCAGGGGGGATGTAAAATAGTACAGCCACTCTGGAAAATAGTTTGGCAGTTCCTTTTAAAACTAAAAATGGACATACCACACAATAAAGCAATTGTATTTTGTTCTAAACACTTCTCTACATGCAATACAGAATAGTCAGTTCACCCATTCACTGAATTAATGCTGTCCTCAATTTGCTGAGCAAGGAGCACTCTCAGAAACATCTCTCCCCAGCTTTGAAGTATGACTAACAAAACTGTAATATATTTAAAGTGTACAATATGAGTTGATATATGTATGAATTGTGAAATGATTCCCATAATCAAGTTAATTAACACATTTATCATCTCATGTAGTTACCTTTTTGGGTGAGAATGCTTAAGATCTATTCTCTCAGCATATTTCAAGTGTATAATACAGAGTTATTAACCATTTGCCTCCCATAAGCATCTATAGACACAAGTGGAGGACCTTCCGTTTTGGATGTGTGGCAGTTAACTGGTTAACTATAGCCACCATACTGTCCACCTCAGAACCTATTAATCTCATAACTGAAACTCTGTACCCTTTGAGCAAAATCTCCCCATTTCCTCCACCTTTAGGCAACCACCATTCTATTCTGTTTTTGAGTTCGAATCTTTTTAAGATTCTGCATAGAAGTGATACCATACAGCATATGTCTGACTTAATTCATTTAGCTTAATGCCCTCCAGGCTCATTCATGCTGTTGCAAATGGCCGAATAGCCTTTTTCATTGCTGAATAATATTCCATTGTGTATATATGCCACATTTCCTTTACTCATTCATCTGTCGACTGACATTTAGGTTGCTTCCTTATATTGGCAAGCAACTGTATTCTTGGGCATTTATCCCAGAGAAATAAAAACTTGTTTTCATGCATGCTGAGGGCGAAATTCTGAAGAACCTCTAGGGATTGTACCAATGTCTTGGTTTAATATTATATCCTAGTTAGCAGGATGTTAACACTGGGGGAGGCTAAGTGAAGGAATTCCCTGTGCATTTCTTCTCAACTTTCTGTGAATTGTTATTATTTCCAATAAAAAGTTTAAAAATAATAATAATGAAGGGGGGACACTGAGCCTTTGAAAAAACAACAAGCTCTCTGGAGTCATCAGTAGCATCACCCCCACGTACGACTCCTCTCCATGCCTCCTGTGTTCCATACCATTCTGCTTACTCCCTCCTTTCTGTGGCAAACTCTTACTAATCTTTCAAAGCCCCATTCAAATGTCACTTCCTCCAGACAGACAGCCTAGAACTTTGGGGCTGGACTGTACTCCCCTTGAGTCTATTTGAGTGTGCATCAGAGTGCATATTGGTTCTAAGACCCTCTCTCCATCACAGTCAGCAGTACTGATAACAAATACTGATAAGTATTTCAAATAGTTCTCCCTGCACCTGGCACACAGAAAGCTCTTGGGACCCTTTGCTGAATGAAAGTTGAATGGTAACTACTAGAAGATGAAAGAGTATGTTTTCCCCAATTTTATAGCAGAGGCTTACAATCAAACAATGGTTTAGTTCAGCAGCTCTCAAAGTGTGTTTCCTGGACCAGCAGCATTGGTATGGCACATTCTACTCCAGACCCACCAAGTTGGAAACTAGAGGGAGAGGCCCAGTAACTTGTATTTTAACAAGCCCTTCTGGGTGATTCTGAGGCACACTAAAGATGGAGAACCACTAACTTAGTGGACTGATCCTTGGTCTTATGGTAGGTGGTCTTATATAAAGACAATCACTAACTCACTCCTTCCTTTCATCAAACATACCAAGAATCTTACCATGTGCCAGATCTGTGCTGCATGATAATCATATACATAAACTGGGAAGGTCTTAGCTCTTAAAAAGCATGAATATGCTCTCTCTCGCTCTCTCTCAACTGGGCTAATAGAATGGAGAATGCTCAAGGTCAGGGAACTGAGGGGCAGAGTGGTAGCCCCTAGTGCTAGGGGAGGTTCAGGAAAGACTTCCTGGAGGAGGAGCACCAGTGCTCAGGTGGGCAGGAAAGGGGTGGGATGTGAGGGTAAAGAGTGTGAGGAATTAACCAGGCAGAGGTAAGAACATGAGAACTGAAATGCAAACAGCCTACCTAAGAAACTGGAAGTGACCAGTGACGATGACATGTGGCACTGCAGAAGGCTGGAGAGACAGGTAGGGTCATGGGGGCCACAGGGAGGCACTGAGGCTGTGTCCTAGGGATTTAAGACACCTGGGAGCAGGGGACATATGTAGCCAGATATAGAAAGATTTCCCCTGGCTGCTGAGTGGAGGATGAACCAGAGGAAGTGGGAGTGGAGCTGGGGGCTCAGGGAGGTGTGCAGGGCAGGGCAGTGGGAACAGGAGGAGGGGGTAGGGGCAGATATGCTCAGAAGACTGAAGACTACAGTAAAGGTGAGGACAAAGGGAGACATCCAGAATGAGGCCCATGGCTCAGGTCTGTGACAAGAGAATGGTGAGAGTTCCTGGGCCCCCAGAGGAGGAAGTGCACAGGGCACTGGGGCTGAAGGTAGCTGGGTTTATCCTGGGGGCACAGGAGCCATGGAGGAGTTGGGATGATCCCTCAGTCTGGGGAAGGATCCAAGGGGACAGGACTGAAGCCTGAGGGGCTATGAAAACTGGGTAATGCAGGTGGCCTGGTCTTGGGGAGTGGGGCTGGAGAGGTAAATATACGGCCATGCTGGAAGGCGAATGGTCTTGCTCAAACAAGTGATACAGGTATCAAGAAAGTGGCAACCAATATTCTGCTGCAAGATAAGCCAATGCGAGTCCTGCTCAGACACAGCCAACCCTCTGATGACCTGCAGGGTGCCAGAAACCCCATAAAATGGCCTTGGACTTACAGGGTATGTGCATTTCCTGGGAAAGAAGGATCCCCAGGTTTCACCAGATTCCTTAATTTGAAAAGAGCGGAGATTCTGACCTTTCTGGGGATGGCTTGTATCTTGCATAGGTGGCCGAGCCTGGGGTGGAGAAGCTCCCAGAAGGTTGTCGGTAGGGAGGGGCTTTGTCGACCCCTGCTGGTGATGCTGTGTAAGGGGTTTCTGGGAAGCTAACAGGCCTGGAACAGACAGGAGGGAAGAAGAAGGTGGGTGAGAGAGGAAGATACCCTTGCCCTCACAGAGGAGGGACAGACAGACCTTTCACTCAGGCCCAACCACATCTCGTCTGCTTTATCTGCTATCATCCCCTGGGGGTGGAGAGGGCTGCTGAGCAAAGGGCAGCAGGAAGCTGGGGATACCCCTGCCCTCCCCTCCCCCTCTCCCACTTTGGCCTCCGCCCTCAGCCACTGTGGCCCTGACATGGGCCTGATAGGACTGTTCTAGCCCACTCCTGGGACGACATGCTTCTCTGCAGCTTAGATCCCTCCATTTCTTGAAAAACTTCCTTTATCTTTTAATATCGAATATATTCAAAAGAATTTATCTGTAAGGTATATGTCATCACAATAAACTCTTTGAACTAGAATGGTGGCAATACCTATACACATGTGGGCTGCTCCCCTTCTCACTTCCCTGCCTCCCCCAGGAAGTTATCACATCCTATACCAGCGATGGCGAACCTTTTGAGCTCGGCGTGTCAGCATTTTTAAAAACCCTAACTTAACTCTGGTGCCGTATCACATATAGAAATTTTTTGATATTTGCAACGATAGTAAAACAAAGACTTATATTTTTGATATTTATTTTATATATTTAAATGCCATTTAACAAAGAAAAATCAACCAAAAAAATGAGTTCGCGTGTCACCTCTGACACGTGTCATAGGTTTGCCATACTCTGTGCTTATCAGTCCCTTGCCCTTTTAAAAAATATACAGTTTTAACCATACATAGTATGGTGAATTTCCACCTCAGACACTGAGCTATTAGCACTAGGCCCTCACACAACGGGCTCAGATTATAAGTTGAAGGAAAGGGAGGCAGGGACAGAGGGAGGGAGGAAGGCATGAATGAATGGAGGGAGGAGGGGGGTAAGGCAAAGGACAAGAGGGAAAGGAGAAAGACTGAGAAGGGACTGGAAAGAAAAGGAAGGAGAGAGAAAAGGACAGGAGGGAGATGGGGACAGGAGTTGATGCCCTTGGGGGTCCTTACCTCTTGCTGTGCAGGGGCTGGGACTCCCGAAAGGGGACCATGGGGGTCTGCTTTGGGGGCCGGCTCAGGGACTGAGGGTGGCCGGGGGTAGCAGGAGTGGCCCACTTGGAGGCTGGTAGAGAGTTGTGGGAGGCTGGCCCACTCCACTGCCAGGGAGCATTGCTGCGGTAGGGGGGCCGGCCCCCAGAGGGCATGCTGTCCTGCTCAGGCTTGGGCTCTGAGGTATTCATGTCGTAGGTCTCTGGCCACCCCCTAGGAAGAGAAACTTTGTTACTCAGAAAGGCTCTGGACCACCTGCACACATGCCCGCTGCCTGGTAACATTGGGTAGGCTTCCCTGGCACAATTTAAACCATGGTGGCCTATTTTAGAGGCTGAGTAGACGACAGGGCCCAGCACAGGGGTTCTGACTGGCTGCTTGACTTCATCTCCACGCCCCTTTTCTCCTTCTCTACTCATTTTCCTTCCTCTCCCTTCTCCCTGACACAGGCCTCAAATCAGCCAGTGTTCTCCATGGACTGGCTCGGCCCCCCTTAGCAGTACTGGGGCCAGAAAGGCAGAATTGAGCTGTGGGAGCTCAGTTCAGAGTACTTGGCTTGGAAGCTCTCATGCCCCCATTGAGCCAGTCCTCTGGTTTGGCTTAGTGGATAGAGTGTTGGACTACGGACCAAAGGGTCCCAGGTTTGATTTCCATCAAGGGCACGTACGTAGGTTGCAAGCTCCTCCCGGGGCCCAGGCCCTGGTCAAGGTGTGTGCAAGAGGCAACCAATCGATGTGTTTCTCTCTATCTCTCCCTCTCTCTAAAAAAGAAAAAAAAATCAATAGAAAAATATCCTCCATGAGGATTTAAAAAAAAGGAGATATCCTTAGGATCAAAGGATAGTATCTGCTTTGTTCCCAAGAATTTCAATGACAGCTGGAAGAGGAGCAGGTGACCTACTTAAAAAAAAAAAAAAGCCACAAAATCCAGAACCTTGAAATAAATGCAGAACTAACGGCCTGTGACTCCCCCAGACCAGGCTGGCACAGGAATTACAGCATTCCTGGCTGCAGGTGGGGAGAGACTTGGGCTGGGTTGGAGGGTCTTAAACTGGGTTGACATTCTCCACTGAGGCTGTAGAGCAGAAAGGAGGGCTCTGAGCCGGAGGAAGGAGCTGTGGGAGCTCAGTTCAGATACTTGGCTTGGAAGCTCTCATGCTCCCATTGAGCCAGTCCTCTGTGACTCTCCTGAGTCCTCTGGAGCCCAGGGAACTTTCAGGGCCACCAGACAAAATACTAAGTGCCTTGGAGAGGGCCTCTTTGGATTGAGGTATATAGGTGTTCTGTTTGCTTCTTGGATTTGAGCATCTAATTCTTTCCATAGATTTGGGAAGTTCTCATCCACTATTTGTTTTAATAGATTCTCCATTCTATGCTTCCTCTCTTCCTCCCCCGCAATGCCTATAATTCTAATATTGCTTTTCTGATTGTTCTCATAGAGCTTTTTCATCTTTCTTTATGCTTAGGTCTTTCTCTTCTTCCCTGTGCATCATTTTTTGATTCATATCTTCGAAATCACTAATTCTTTCCTCCATCTGATTGGTTCTGTTTTCTATGCTCAGTAGTTCACTCTTAATCTCAATTGCATGCTTCATTTCCAGATTTTATTTTCTCACATCTCCTTGAGTATTTTCAGAACTGCAATCTTAATATCTCTGTCATTTATATAACATATTTCCATGTGTTTCAGCTTGCTTTCTGGGGATTTTTCCATTTTCTTTCTGACCATCCTCATTACCATGGTTATTCATGATGTTTGCTCTTTTCCTTTGTCTAGGCATGCAGCTTTTTCTGGAGAGGTCTTTCTACTATTTTCTAGTAGATGGCGCTGAATCACAAGATTTTTTAGCTATGTGATCTCCCAGTCTCGAACCTCCATAGCTTCCATAAGACACTACAGCCTTACTACTTGGGGGTGGGGTTTGTTTTGCCTTCACAGTAATGGTGGCCTCTGACCTCTGTGGGGTTCTGCCCCAAGCACTCTTCCTGGGACCACTCACATAGGGAAACCGGTTCTACTGCAATAGCTCTTGGTTTGCCAATAATATGCTCCTGGACTGACGCAGCAGGGCTCTGTGGTTCCGTTGCTTTGCCTGAAATACCATTGCCGGTAGACAGTGGAGAGCTGTATGGCAGAACCCCATTCTCTGTCAGGTGTCTGATGACTCAGACACTGTGCACTCCCTCACTGCTCGTCTTGCTGGGCTGCCCCTTGTCCCACTCTCCCCACTGCAGCTCTCTGTTCCTCCTGGCTGAAAGAAGCGCCTGCTACTGCCAGTTTCTCCCTTCTCCCAGCCAAGCCACAAGCTCTCAGCTGCAGGGCTGTGTCTGTGGGCTGTCTGTGCTTTCCTCTCTTCTTGACTCCCTGTTTAATCCCAGTTGCCCACTTTTAGATGTTTCAATGTGTGGGTCTCTCAGGCGTGTGTCTGTGTTGAGCAGATATTTCTTTGTTGAATTATAGTTGGTTAAGCTGTTGAAATTTCACGCTGGCTCCTGACTGCTCACCTGCCTGCCTGATTGCCCCTAACTGCCTCTGCATGCCTGCCTGATCACTCCGAACTGCTCTCCTGCCTGGCTGATCACCCCTAACCACTCACCTGCTGCCTGATCACCCCTAACTGCCTCTGCCTGATCACCCCTAACTGCCTCTGCCTGCCTGCCTGATTGCCTCTAACTGCCCTCCCCTGCCGGCCTGATCTTTCCCCCAACTGGTTTCCCCTGCCAGCCTGATCTCACCCCCAATTGCCTCTGCCTGCCGGATCACCCCTAACTGCCCTCCCTTGCCGGCTTGATCTCATCCCCAACTGACCTCCCCTGCTGGCCTGGTTGCCCCCAACTGCCCTCCCTTGCTGGCCTGGTTGCCCCCAACTGCCCTCCCCTGTTGGCCTGATCTCGCCTCCAACTGCCCTCCCCTGCTGGCCTGATCTCGCCCCCAACTGCCCTCCCCTGCTGGCCTGATCTCGCCCCCAACTGCCCTCCCCTGCTGGCCTGATCTCGCCCCCAACTGCCCTCCCCTGCTGGCCTGATCTCGCCCCCAACTGCCCTCCCCTGCTGGCCTGATTGCCCCTAATGGCCTCTGCCTCGGCCCCCACCACCATGGCTTTGTCCAGAAGGAAGTCAGATGTCCAGAAGATGGCTGGCCGACCCGGTCTCATTAGCATATTACCCTTTTAGTAGTATAGATGGACATAAAAAGAATAGCACACTTAACCTCAGATACCATCCTGCCCCCTCCCCCCCACCCTGCCCTCTTGGCATTAATGAACAGATTCATCTCCCTCCCTCCCTTCCTTCCATTAAATGTTTTTATTGACTTTTAGAGAGGGGGGAAGGGAGAGGGAGGAAGAGGGAGGGAGAGAGAATCACTGATATGAAAGAGAAATATCGACTGGCTGCCTCCTGTAGGCACCCTGACTGGAGATGAACCTACAACCTAGGCATGTGCCCTGACCGGAATCAAACTGATGACCTTTTGGTACATGGGATGACGCCCAACCAACTTATCCACACCAGCCAGGGCTCACCTCACTTTAAATAACCAGTTACTATTCCATCATGTGAGGACCTGGGATTTAATCAGCCAGAGCCTATGGTTGGATACTTAGGTTGCTTTTTAATCTTTTGCTCGACCAACAACACTGCACTAAATATTCCCTTCCAACCTCTTGGCTACTCACGGAAGATGTCTGAGGGAGGATGCCCCTGGGCTTGCAGACCACTTTTCCTCACTGCCTCCTTGGCCTTGATTCCTGACAGCCTGATTTTTGGGGGCCATGGGGACTCCTTTCTTATCTCACTTGTGCAGATTCAATATCCCTTCTGAGGGAGGACTTTCCAACTCCCCACCCCATCTGAGGTCTGAAGTCCAACTAAAGAGGACAAAAGCTTCACAGATCACTTTCCCTGTCAGGCAGCAAAGCAACAGAGACAACAAGGTGAAAACATCCCTCCTGAGCCTGTGCAAGCACCCAAGGTCAAAATGACATATTTCATCAGGGGCTCTGGCATGTCCTCCTGGCTACCTGGTTCAGCCCAGCTGTGGCTTAGCAGTGCAGGGCTCACTTGAGAACCCCAGCCTTGTGGCCTAGGCGTGCAAGGATGTCCCCCTGTACTCTACCCCGTGTCCCAAGAGCATGGGGTCTGGATATGTGCCCTCCAGAGCCTGGCTAGTGGCAAGGAGAGCATCTTTGCCCATCCCTGAGAGTTTCCACTCAGAGCTCATCGTGACATTTAAGCCAGGAGGTCAGGGTTACATCAGGAGGCTGAAGGGACCCCAGAGTTGGGTTATCAGGTCTTCAAAGAAGGCCAGTCAGACACTCTTGCATTTGAAGTACCACAAAACCCACACAAGTCCCAACCCACACCCATCCCTGTGAACAGGAGATCCTGTTTCGTAGCCACTTTGTAAAGGGAGCAGGATGACAGTTTTTTTCCTAAATTGGGCAGGGAGCAGAACTCGTCTGTCTGGTCACACCCTCCCTGGTCTGTCTCACCAAAGCTAGAGAAGTAAGACTGCAGACTTTTACCTTCACTTCAGCTGGGCCCTGCTGCAGGTGTAGGGCACCTTCAGATCCTCTCACACTCCCTGAGTTTTGTAGAGTCATCCGACAGGTGGGCTGGCTTGCTGCGTGCATACATGTAGGGATGAGCATGTATGTAGGGAGAGGAGAGAGGGAGCCAGCCTGTGGGGTTACCTTGGCTTGACTTGCCTCTGCAGAGCTCAGAGTGGGTGTGGCTGGCTTTGGCTCTGCAAAGATGGAGGAGGCCCCAGAAGAGGACTGGGAGAAGGGATATCTGAGGCTTGTCAGGAGTCCGGAGGCTGAGGGACCAGGGTGTGCACGTGGGTGGCCAAACCCTTGGTTGCAGGGCTTAGACTTGCCCAGAACTTCCCCTCACTGAGTTCAGAGCAAGCAGGACTCAGGAAGAGGGGGATGGAATAACCGGAACTTGCATGTAGGGAGTTTTCAACATCTCTCTTTTTAAAAATAATATTTTTATTTATTTCAGAGAGGAAGGGAGAGGGAGAAATAGAAACATCAATGATGAGAGAGAATCATTGATCAGCTGCCTCCTGCATGTCCCCCACTGGGGATCGAGCCCGCAACCTGGCATATGCCCTTGACTGGAATCGAACCTGGGACCCTTCAGTCCACAGGCTGATGCTCTATTCACTGAGCCAAACCAGCTATGGTAAGTTTTCAACAAAGACAGCAGAGCATATGGGGATGGGCAACCTGGATTGAGTTTGCTCTGTCAATTAGCTGTATAACCTTGCACCAAGTGACTTAACTGTTCCACTCTGGGCCTTACTTTCTTATCTGTTAAGTGGGGATCACACCAGTACTCCATGTCACCTCATCTCATGCCTTCTTCTTGGATTACTCTGCTCTAGCCACACCACCCTACTACTTCTTCTTTTTAATGTATTGATTTTGAGAAAGGGAGATAGAGAGATAGAGAGAGAATATCGATTTGTTGTTATACCTATTTATGCATTCACTGGTTGCTGCTAGTATGTGTCCTGACTGGGGACTGAACTTGCAATCTTGATGCATCAGAATAATGCTCTAACCAATGAGCTAGCTGACCAGGGTGTGTTTAATCACTTTTAACTGTTGGTAAGAGGAACTGGTTCAGGCTCTTATGAACTTTGGGAATTTCTCTAATCCTTTCAGGTGTTCCTCCCACCCTCCACCTTTACTTTCTTAAAGCAGTCACACTACCCTCCTACTAATCTGTCAACAAGCCGAGGACCTTTGTTCTCACCTTTGTGATGAATGCTCCCTCCCTGCAAGGCCTTCTTCTGGCTCCTTCTCACTTTCTCGACCATCTTCTCCAAGGTCAGGTCATGCCCTTTATTTCCTCACACTCAGTATCTCACAGCTAGCGTCTCTTTAGTGCCTCCTACAAGCCAAGTACTGTTTCACATGGTTTACCAGTCTTACCTCCTCCAACATTGCAACAACCCTTTGAGGAAAGGATCTATTATCGTCCTCATTTTACAAATGAAGAAACTGAGGTAGAGAGGGTGAGGCCACTTGTGAAGGGCTATAGTTAATAAAAGGAGCTGGGATTCAAACCTAGGCAATCTCACTGCAGAGTCCACCTTCCCACTACACTCGGCTGCCTCCCCTTTTTGCTGTATGAAATCGTCTTATTTGCTTAGTTGTTTATTGTCTGTCTCCTGACCCATATGTTAGCTCTATCAGGGCCAACTCCTTGACTGCCCTCTGTGCAGCTTGGAATGTGATTTTCCCTCTCTGTCTCTGGTCATTTCTGGAGGTGGCTAGAGTACCAACTCATCAATCCAAAAATTGAATTTATCCTGTCTTCCCTGTGTAAATTATACCTCAGAATAACCATATAGTTACTGAAGGCAAGTTCTTTTTAGAAGAATTACAGCCAATAAATGAAAAATGGCAGCATTGAGCATATCTATAATAATAAAAGCATAATATGCTAATTAGACCGGATGTCACAGCTGGGCTGTGAGGAAAGCCAGGTCCGGGTGCCTGCCGGTGGCTGGAGGGAAGCCTGGATCCCAGGTGCATGCTGGCGGCTGGAGGGAAGCCCGGGTCCCGGGTGCCAGAGGGAAGCCGGTGCTGGCAGCTGGAAGGAAGGCCTACTCTTGCACGAATTTTGTGCATTGGGCCTCCAGTCACAACTATAATGAATAAATAAATCTAGGTAATAATCACAATGGCTGCTGAAAGCTGAGGGGAAATGTATGATGACGGGTGAGGTTGCCACATGTGAACCCTCTGATGGCCCTTAGCATCACACACAGAGGGACAGCCAGATACATGGTGCCTCCTGATGGACACACACTGGTAAGTGTTGTTACCAAAAGAAATTTAACCACAATCTGGTCAATACAGAACTCCAGTTTACAGGAAAAACACGTGCTAAAGGAACAGGGGATGCAAGCAGCTAAGTTTATGAAGTGGGAACCTCCTGGAACAGTGGCCTGGTTTCTTTCCCAAATAAGTTGCAAGAAAAAAAAATAAAGGGAGGAGAATTTACAGATTAAAAGAGCATGAAAAGATACATCAACCAAGTGCAGTAGGAGGAGCCTGATTAACAAAACAACTGTTGTTTAAAAGTATCTCTGATATGATGAAAGTTATTGATATTCACTTATTGTTAAAATTTGTAAGTGTACTAGTAATTTTTTAAAGATCCTGATGGGGTAGGGATACAATCCCAGAATTTAAATTGTTTCAAATAGTTCAAGGTGGGGAAGCTGGAGATTTAAAAACAAAAAAACTAGCCCTTGCCGGTTTGGCTCAGTGGATAGAGTGCCGGCCTGTAGATTGAAGGGTCCCAGGTTCAATTCCAGTCAAGGGCATGTACCTTGGTTGCAGGTACATCCCCAGTAGGGGGTGTGCAGGAGGCAGCTGATCGATGCTTCTCTCTCATCAATGTTTCTAACTCTCTATCCCTTCCCCTTCCTCTCTGTAAAAAATCAATAAAATATATTTAAAAAACAACAAAAAAAAGTACCTTTAAAAAAACTAGCTACATGTTGACAAATGTTGAAACAACAGGTTCAGTATACTTTTAATATGTTTGAAACGTTGCATTAAAAAACACACAAACAAAATGAAAAGAAAACTTGCGCCCTAGCGGGTTTGGCTCACTGGATAGAGCGTTGGCCTGGGGACTGAAGGGTCCCAGGTTCGATTCTGGTCAAGGGCATGTATCTTGGTTGCAGGCACATCCTCAGTAGGGGGTGTGCAGGAGGCAGCTGATCGATGCTTCTCTCTCATTGATGTTTCTAACTCTCTATCCCTCTCCCTTCCTTTCTGTAAAAAAATCAATAAAATATATTTAAACAAACAAACAAACAAACAAACAACAAAAAAGCAAACTTGCACTGGCTTCCTACTGAATAATATCAAGCTCCTCATTGTATCCAGAAAGCCCCCCTCAATTTGCCATTGCCTCCTCAGTCCCTCTCTGTCCCTTTCTCCCACCTTCCACCCCTGCTTACTCTGTCCCAGCCATACCAGCCTCCCTGTGCTGTAGGAACATGCCCAATACACTTGCACTTCAGAGTCCCTGGCCAGTCCCTGTCTGGCCCAGAAAACCAGATGGCTACCTCTTCCCAGGAGCCTTCCATGACCACTCTGTCCGCAGCTCTCTGCCACGCTACAGACCCTGTATTTACCACACTTTAATCCTCTCCTTAGATCTCATTGCTGCCTGATCCTAGATTACCTGCCTATTTAATTACTAGAGGCCTGGTGCACGAATTCGTGCATGGGTGGGGTCACTCGGCCTGGCTGGCAATTGGGGCCGACTGGGAGGGCCGGCTGGCCGGGGGTAGGGGCTGCGGGAGGTTGGCCGGCTGGGGGGGGAGGGACTGTGGGAGGTTGCACAGCTGCGGGAGGTTGTCTGTGGGAGCACACTGACCATCAGGGAGCAGCTCCTGCATGGAGCAGCTGCCTCCTGGTGGTCAGTATACATCATAGTAACCGGTCAACTGGTCATTTGGTCGCTTAGGCTTTTATATATATAAACTAGAGGCCCGGTGCATGAAAT